CCACCGGTGTGTTAGAAAGACGAGAAGATTACCAGCTAAGCGACCCCGGCGAAAACCATATTGTTATTTTTGTAATAAAAATGAAAATATATAAAAGAGTTATCATGTTTTTCAATCAGGTTTATAACTGTTTCTTATCAGGGTATTATTGATTTGTTATCAGCAAGCAAAACCTATGTGAAATTGGTTCTCACATAGGTTTTGTTTGGTAATGAATTTTATAACTAGTTTTCCTATATACGGATCAAGTTACTTTCATATTTCTAATTCTTTCTGCTGCTGAATGCCGTTAAGTTTTTATGTTATAACATAACAATAACATTACTTATAAGGCTTAATATTTAAACCGATCTTAAAGCAAAACAGAAAATTAAAAAGCCAAATAGCCACTGATCATGGGAACTTGGCCTGTATTAATAACAAGACATATGGGTCGGCCATTTTTTAATCTATGCGCTAAAGATGCGGTAAAGATGCTACGAAATAGTTTACCTTGAAATTTCAAGGTAAAATGTTTATTATTGGCAATTTCGAACGTTATATAACACACACACACACACCAATAGAGTACATTTTTTTAATCTTTCAGGAAAAAAAAACATTTCTTCCTTTTGATGTTATACGTCATAAAACTAGAATCCCGTTAGTAATCTCTTCCGTGGCATTGCCCTTTGAATGAAACTGCGCCGTCCGGGTTTGATGCATTCCAAGCTTACGCAAAATTATCTGTGAGAGGTTATGTGGATGTTACCTCAGTATGGTACTTGTGACTACAAATAAAGATAGCAGTAGTATTTATGTGTGTTGTATATGTGCCTTGTTTTGACTAACTACCTATTATCACGTGGCATATACGGCTTAGTGACAACAACTTGTCGCTAGCCTTTCACTTCCAGATTAACTGATTGACAAATTAACTTTACTGTCTAAGGAAATGTTTAACTTTTGTTTATCTTTTGTCACTCTTGCTTGTCCCTTTATAATATAAGAAATATGGATGTTCAAGGTCCGAATGATAGTCCGAGTGCAGACTGAGATTGGCGGTTCCTTTACCATGGGTTGCGCTATCTATTTACAACTGTTAGCAAAATTTAAAGAAGGTCATTGTTTAAAGTATTTAGCACTTGGTATTAAAAAACTTTAAAAGAACGATTTGAAGGTCGTTCTCGCATCGTGCGACATATATGTGACACTGTATTTTTAGCTACTTACAAAATGTAAGATTCTCAATTCGGCTGTTTTTTTCATGTTTGTTACCTCAGTCATTTATACACGGATTAAGAAAATTCTATTTTTATTTAAAGAAGTGTACTTCCCGTTTGGTTCTTTAGTTAAAGCTTATTATTGTTTGGATGTTGTAGTGACCGGCTTCAGAGAAAACTTCACAGTGTTAAGCAATTTATTTATTGCTTTTCACCGAGTGGATGAGGTTACCGAAGGTCCAACCCCTTAACTCTAGGGGCACTCACTCTAGCATTAGGTATTTGCTTGTTTGTCCCTTGTTCCATGCTAAAAGCCATCGAGCTCCTGTTCCGCTGTTTGTTGCTCGCAATTATTAAATTTTCTTGGCTAGTTGTTGTTACTGTTGCTACTGACGTCACTATAGTAGGCGTTATGTCTGTTTAAAGCAGCCACACCTACTTCGGTGTGTCGGTGCTAAAAATATATGAGTCATACATTTAATACTGTCGGAAACATGCTAAAATTAGCTTAGGATTATTTTTTATTATTTCTGAGCACTGTAGCTTTAGTGATGGTAAAGGAAAAAAATGTGAAAATCGGTAAATTTCTGTTAGGTATGTCATATTTTTTACGATTTTGCAGTTGCGAAACATTTTTTTTGTGATGTCGGTGTATGGAAGAGTATTCTTTTAACTACAAAGTTCGTCCTTCGGTTAAAAAGGAGGGGGAGGGGGAATATTTCAGAATCCATTGAATATATCTTATATATTGACGACCGAATGGCGTAGTGGTTTGTGTAACGGACTGCTATTTCAAAGGTCGCGGGTTCGATTCCCGCTCAAGTCAAGCATTTGTGTGCATGAACATTTAATGTTTGATTTGGTCTGGGTGTTTCTATGTATAATATGTATGTATTTACAAAAAAAAAAAAAAAGTATATATGTATTTATATCAGTTGTCTAGTACCCATAGTACAAGCTTTGCTTAGTTTGGGACTAGATGGCGTTGTGTGATTGTGGTAGAATATTATTATTATTTATTATTATATATTGGTTCATATGAATGAACCACGAAACTATAAACATACTAGTTTGTTTACTTACTTTGCCTTGGTGTGTAATTGTACTAATTTGTTATGACTGCATGAATGCGATGGTTTAAGCGAACACCTCGTCGCTTCCTAGTGCGCTGAGTGTTGTGGGTTTGATCCCCGCATGGGACATTTTGTATGATCTACAAATTGCTGTGCTGAAACTCGGTAGGTAAAAAATAGTAAGATACCTTTTTTTAGGGTAGTATGAGAGATTCCTCCTTTCTATGTCCAGCAGTCGATCATTAAAGGCTGTTGATGATGATGAGTTATTTTACACCACTGTCTCTTCTTCTGTATGTGATGTTCTCTTACCTAGTTGGAAATTATATAGGCAAATAGAAACAAAAGAAATATGTTGGTTACCCATGTTTAGTTATACCTACGGTCTCCCTAATGATTAAATTTAAGAGAGGCAAAACACTAGAGTAGAAACAGAGGAAACGAGGGTTATGTTTTTCGAGCATATTTAAGTATGTATATTTCTTTGGCACGCTTTGTAGCCTAAACACCTTGATAGATGTAAGCGTTTAAGGTTTCGCTAGATTTGTCTTAATTGTGAGAGTGACCCGGTAACTGCAGGAACTTCAGTTTCAACTTTTAAGTACACATTCAGCAGTCGGTTTTCTTAGCTTGTCTAGATTATTGTCTGTCTGTGTGCCAAAATTTCATCCGGATCCATTCCGCATGCCCTTAAGTAATTGAGTAACAGACATTCATTCACAACTTGAATTAACATTAGTAAGATTAATTAATAGACAAAATATAGTATTTAACTTCTATACTTATCAAGAGTGGCCTCGTTATCTAGGTTCAAGCATGACTACCCGACACTTCATTTTAGCCTAGACTTATAAACATTAAATAACCTTGAAAAATTATTAGATAGCGTAATCATTGAATGTGAAATCTTATTTATTTATTCTTATTAAACAAAATCTTTTATACATTACTTATACGGAGAATAATACGGTACAAAGGCGAGCTACACTCAAAGTTGAGTTTACATCCAGCAAACCTTAGGAGTCAAAAGAGGATATCGAAAGACAATAAGAGTCCAAATCACTTTTAGTCTTTGCGAAGGACAGAATATTGAAATCTCAACATCTATATTACGTGCACTACACTATTTTAGTGTAAACTAGTGATGTATTGGTCCGTAAAAATGTATTTGTTCGGATACGGATACGAAAACAGATTTAAAATGAATATGTTTATTAAAAAAAATATGTTTTATTTTGCACTACCCGTGTATTTTAAATAATAACTGCATAACATATATCAAAAAGAATTGGGCTTTGATGTCGTTATAAAGAGAAACAAATAATGCGTTGTAATTTTTTACTGAAATTAGTTTTTACTAATTTCAGTAAAAAGTGTTTTCACTACAGTAGATATTTCAATTCTTAGTATTACAAAAACATATTTCATAAATGTTGTAAAAAATATGATTGAAAAGATCCGTTCAAAATCTACCAAACTTATTGGATACAGATACAGAATTTTTTTCAGCCTCGGGTATCGTTAGTTTCAACCCGAAAAAAATATTATATTATTGAGATATTTTAAAATTAATTTTCTTGCGTTTTTCGTTGATCATTTTTAAGCCACTTATTATATAAAATATATTTTTTAAATATGCGTTGTTCGGGCCTTAGTTTCCTCTCCAGACCGTTTCGCTCCATGAGTCCTTAGTTCTGCACTGTCATTTGAACTAGCTGATCCGTTTTGCAGTTTGGTCAGTAATTTTCGTTCTTCTGCGTATTTCCTCATTTTTGATTAGATCCTTCAAAAAACCCTGAGCATCACATCATTCCCTCTTAAACTTGTTCATCAAGCTTACGGTAATATAACAGAATATTTTTATTACATATTTTGCCAAGAAAGAACGTAAAATAAAATTATGAAATTAATGTGTAAACATCTCACATAACATAGAAGTTGTGTACTTGAATTGTAAATAAGTAAAGGTTCAGAGGGTGTATTATAAATAATCATTAGGTTAAAGAGATAGTGGTAAACAAATCCCTGTAATACAATAGCACATTGAACAAGAGTTTGTTTACATAAATTTAATTTTATATACTATACCTATTTACCCCCTAAGTTATTGGGCTTTCATTTTATTTGAGCACGATGCTTCTAGAGTTATATTTTGTACCTTATTTTTTCTGCAGTTACATAACCTAACATAAACATAAAAAAACCTAACATAAAAAATACTAAAACTACTATTATTCTACTATTATTATTAAATCACAAAATTAATATATTTAGAACAGCTTTAGAGGCTAGAAATAGCTAGACCGTAGATAGAAACGTATCCGAACTTCGTCATTTTACTGACTATAAATTTCATTTCCACTTAAGTAATAGGTGGCGAGCCTATTGCCATAAATCGCGTCGGGTCAATAATAAAATATATAGATTTTTTGTACTTTTGATACCTACGTTACCTAAAAGAACTTTTTTAGAGTTTTCGAAGAATCAATTTTCATATAAGGAGCCCGGTATGAAAATATATGAAGAGTAAAATTTTGTGATCGAATGACCTCGTTACGTTTTTTTGCGCAACCTGTCGTGCGCACCTATCACATGTGTCTGTATAACTTGTATACTTGTGTGCAGCCGAATCTTTCTTAACGAGTAAACTCCAGTCGTGCTTCGGAGCTGACTTACACTTTTTTTTTCTAAAACACTATTCAGTAATAATTTTATTCTATTACAGGAATGCGCCGAAACCAAGAAGACTTACACCTACGCACAACTTCAGAAATACAGTTCTGTGTTTGCGACATCCCTCCTAAAGAAATTAGGTCTGAAGCCAGGAGATGTCTTAGCGGTCATGATACCTAATTGCCCTGAGTTCCCTGTGGTTGCATTTGGGAGTATTCAAGCTGGTGTAGTGCTGACGACTGTCAACCCTATTTATAAAGAATGTAAGATATATATTTGTTTGACCTTACTTACTTATAGTTTTGAGTTAGGTTCCCTGTACGATCATTTGTTTTGTGTCTGAGTAATTTTTATTTAAAATAGGAATGTATTTAGAAATATATATGTATGTTTATAGCAGTTTGAACTCTGCTTAATTTAGGATCTAACGGACGTGTGAAATGTGTAAACTTGTTATTATTAACTTTAATACTTTTATTCATTTTTCTGTGTTTTTATTTTTATATTAAAAGGGTTGCAAATTATAAGACACTTGAGTTAACCAAGTATGCCAGAAGGGAATAATGTGAAATTGTGATGGGGGTTTTCAGAAGGATGCTTTTTGAAGGAGTGTGAGGGTGGATTTCGGCATTTTCAGTATGTTGTGGTTGAAGAGTCTTCCAGACTACACAAGTTGTAGACATTTGTTGTCTGCACGGATGGCGTAGTGGTTTAAGCGGTCGCCACGCCGGTTCCTACTACGCTGAGTGTTGTGGGTTCGATCCTCACATGGGATGACACTTTGTGTGAGCCATAAATTGTTGTTCTGTGTCTGGGTGTTCTTTGTGTTCGTTTCATGTATGTTTGTAAAGTCCCCCGCTACACAGGATATATTCCTAATGCGCGAGTTGTCTTTTGCATTAAAAAAATAAAACATGGGTAGGATTTAAACTCTATCTGCCGGTGATTGCCTTTTTATTTCAGTACCTAAATAACTTGCATTAACATTTTTTATCGTCGGTAAATAAAAAGTTTTATCGCCACATCGTACACTCTTATTTGTTTCGTTAACTATATAACAGATAATAAAACAGTAACAGTTAACTGTTTAATAAAAATAAGTTAATATTCATTATTATGACTAGTTATGTCCGAAGCACCACTAAAAATGGCGGACAATAATGAGATGTATAAAAAATAGACTTACATTTACATACAAACAACATCGGTTACTTTTATTTAGTACATTTTATATAATACTAGCTTTTGCCCGCGGCTCCGCGTGTATGTCGGTTATCGCGGTAAAAAGTAGCCTTTTTTTTTTCCGTGCGGAAATCCTCTCGGATACCACCTATCGGTGGCATGTCGGACTCGAACCGACTAAAACCGCACGCCGTCTCGGGTACTAATAGCCGGGGAACCAGGTATACCCTAGAAAGGAAGTCCCTGGTGCCCCGACATACCTCGGGCCATCTACAACAACAGGTAGACGACCCCCCCATGTGGGAACCCCATGTTCCCTCTGCTCCCTGGAAGCGAGCGCGCTTCGCAACGCGCTCGCCGCCACCCCGGCCTGCATCTGCTACGGTGACAGATGGCCTCACCTGTCACCCCCGGGCCTGCGCTTATGGAGGACGGAGGTCGTTCTGCGACCTCCGGCGCCTGAGTCGCCTGCGGTACCTGGCCCGTTCCCGGGCCTGGCGGGCCGGGAGAGTCCTAACCCTCTCCCGGTCCCGCTCCGTCGTCTCAGAAGGAGACAGCAGAGTTCCACGCACTCTCGTATATCCGCAATCAGGCTATCGAGCGAGAGAACTCCCACTCCGATGGCCGCCACGAGGTCGCGCCTCTGCTCAACCCACGCCGGGCACTCTGCCAGCGTGTGGAGAGCCGTGTCCACGGTCTGGCCATCGCAGTGGTGGCACTCAGGCGTTGGCTCCTTGCGGATCAGACACAGGTGATCCCCGAAACATCCTTTCCCAGTGATCACCTGCGTCAGTCGGTATGAGAGGGTCCCGTGACGCCTCTCGAGCCAATCCTCCATAACGGGTCTTACCGCCGCGATGACGGCGTGCCCGGCGCTCGGTTGCCCGAGTCGTTCCCTCCACTCCCCTATGATGACCTGGCGTTGGGATTTCCGGTCATCGATTTCTCGAATCTCGGGGCACCGACCGTTGGGTCGGTGCCCCGAGATTCGCAGTTCGAGTGGCGCAAGGAGGCGCGGGAGTTGTCCCGCGCCTCCTTGCGCCACTGATACAGAGCCGCAAGGGCTCTCGCCTCCAGGTCCCACGGTGGAGTTCCGGCCAGGAGACTCGCCGCCTCAAAGGAGATCGTGCGGTACCCCCTTATGATCCTGATGGCCAGCACTCGCTGCGGTCGTCGCAGTATCGCGACGTTGCTGGCCTTCAGGGCCCCCGCCTATGCTGGGCACCCGTAAAGGGCCATGGACCGCACAACCCCCGAGTAGAGTCTCCCGCAGGAGTCATCGGGTCCCTTCATGTCGGGCAGCAGCCGCGCCAATGCACGCACTGCCCTAACCAACTTGGAGGGTAAAAAGTAGCCTATGTTACTCGCTAATAATGTAGCTTTCTATTGGTGAAATAATTTTTAAAATCGGTTTAATTGTTTAGGCTTGAAAGCGTAACATACAAACAAACTGACTTTCACATCTATACAAATAAATCAAATTAAAGTGTCTGTTTGTAAAGTCAAAATAATAGGTTTTATTCATGCTCACGCGGGTATTTGCACGATGCCTATGAATAAAAACCAGTTTAATTTCTTTTTGTCCGTCTGTCTGTTTGTTCCGGGTAATCTCCAAAACGGGTAGACCGCCTTTGTTAAAACTTTACTACCAGGTAGCTGTATATATATATACAGGTAGCTGTATGTATAAGAAATAACTCAGAGTAATTTTTTTCTCAGAAAAACCCTATAAAATTTTGCACCGTTCGGGAATGGAACTCACTAAGGCAGCGCTTTTCAAATTCCACGTGAACGAAGTCGCGGGCACAAGCTAGTTTATAATATAAGTATGGATAGCAAAATTCACTGAGACGTATGCCAGGCGTCTGAGATACCGTAACTAATAAATATTTATCTTTCGTTACGCACACGTGATGTCGTGACTTTTATTCATTGTTTGTTAACACTCAAACTGTGACCTCCGATAACAATTATCAACAAATGAACAGAACTACAAACTACATTTAATTATGACATGGGCAAACAAGCAACCTTGTCACCTGGACCTCAATTCTGCTATTTGAATATTGTATCAATAGACTGTCGATGGAATGTCGTCGGAATAGTTTTGCACTTTTCCTATTCCACTAACAATGTAAGACCAATGGCCTCGGTGCCTTGCCACTGATACAAATGTCATCGATGTCTTTGTGACAGTTTGGTAAACAGTACATTTTAAATTTGTAAGAAAATTATATATATATAATTTTCCAGGTATTGCAATGTTGTTGATATCAACATTGGTGACCTATATTATTATATCGACAGTCTATTGACATTGTGAATTTATGTTAGTAGAATACTGATATTTTGACCGATGTCAATGGCGTCTCAATGGCATCTCAATATCGTGTCAATGGGCAGACAGTGGTTTGGCGTTAACATAAAATAGCAGAATTGAGGCCCTGATGGTAAGTAACTACCGCCGCACTTGGACACCTGCAACCTACAAGTCAGTGCTTGTGGGTTGCAACCTACGAGCACTTATTAAGTGCTTGTAGCCTGCAACCTACGAGCAATTATTAAATGCTCGTAGGTTGCAAGTCAAGAGTTATAAGTGTGTTACCCAAAGAGCTTAAATACATATATAGAGGCAGCGAACAAGGTGCTATCGCAAACGATTGGTAGAGAGAGATAGAAGATTGTTTTGGTCTTGCATCTCTCTCTGCTCTCACTTACTGTCACTGATTGGCTATTTTAAATACCCTCTTCAGTATCAGCAAATCAATGCAGAGAGGAAAGAGAAATGCAAGACCAAAACAATATTCTTTCTCTGTCTAACGGCCGTACGCTACCACTTACAGAGGAATATACCGTTCGCTCTATTATCTCTATGGCGCTACTCCCCTTTTAGTCTCTCCCTATATAATCAGTCTCCGGGGTAGTCTAGTCTCCTCACTCACTCTTTGAAAAGCATCGACACCTCTTATGTGCAAACTGATAAGCTTTTAAGAAGAAATAATAACTATTTTACCTTTTACTGATTTTAAAAAAACTTTTAACCATCTTATATATATTTTTTACTAAATAGTGGTAATTAAATATACCGACATTATGATTATTGTACATTTTGTTATTAATCCATACTAGTCCTTACTAATATTAAAAATGCCAAAGTGTGTCTGTCTGTCTGTCTGCTGTTACCTCTTCACGCTTAAATCACTGCACCGATTTAGATGAAATTGGGTATAGACATAGTTCGCGTCCCGGGAAAGGACATAAGGTAGTTTATATCCTAGAGTCAGCCTTTAAGGGGTGAAAAGGGGCTGGAAGTTTATTTGAGGAATCAATAACCACTGCACCGATTTAGATGAAATTTGGTATAGACATAGTTCGCGTCCCGGGAAAGGACATAAGGTAGTTTATATCCTAGAGTCAGCCTTTAAGGGGTGAAAAGGGGCTGGAAGTTTGTTTGAGGAATCAATAACCACTGCACCGATTTAGATGAAATTTGGTATAGACATAGTTCGCGTCCCAGTAGTTTTTATCCCAGAAGTTAGCCTTTAGAAGGGGCTGGAAGTTTGTATGGGGAATCAATAACCACTGCACCGATTTAGATGAAAGGACAATGGCAGGTCCCCATACATAATTTTATTTGAACTGAAATGTTAGCGTTTAAATATCAAAAAATCCTTAACACTTGAGAATTTATTCTTGACCATTCTCATATCAAAATAACTTGCGAAAGAAGTCTAGGAAAAAAGATATTGGATTTTGAATGTTTCGAGGTTAAGTACTAACATATTGTTAATGTTTTGTTTGAAACTAGATGGCGTTGTGTGTCAGATAGCCGAAAATATTATTTTCATTATTATTACAGTATATGAAATAAAAAAAAAAAAGCATAACATCTATTCGAGTTTAACACTAAATTAAACAAAAATAAAATAACAAACGTGGTGAGTCCGGAACTCGACAGGATCTAAACGACGACGTATCGACATTTTGAAAATATCGATGTATGTCTTTTTTATGTGCCGTTATCAATGACAAAGTATTTTTCTCATCACACTGTGTAGTGGAAAATAACGTAACTATATTCTATTTATTTAGTGTGTTTAAAATCGTTTAAAGACAGTCAAAAATATTTTAAATAATTTCTAATTATGTTGATTCAGTCACTCTACCGTACGAGTGAAGACGTGGGCAGAAGCAAATCCATAATCATAATAGGTGAACCTTCGGTAAATATTTCAGCCAAACTATAAGAATCGATTATCGATAAACTGTTCCATAATATAATATTGCCACCACGCATCCCTAGTCAGTTATACATGATGGCGAATCTGACATTACGTACTTAGGTCAAATAAAATCATCAAAAATATCTTATCTCTTATAAGACTTATACAACACATGGTGGTGTAATGATAAATCATAGAAAAAATATTGATTAAGTTTACTGTGACTGGATTTTTTAAACGCTTAAGTTTTAGGTAAATATGTTTCTGCCATTGTTCTTTGGTATGGAGATAGTTTGATTCTTGAGGAAGGATATAGACCGCGATAACCGGCGGCAAAGCTATTTAAAAATAAAACAGCATTAGCGGTAGGAATCTTAAAGTTAAAAAAGCACTGAACTGCACGTATGGCGTAGTACTCGTAGTTTAAGCAGTTTCCTTAAATCTTGTTGTCTTTAAAAAACTGTAAGTATCTGTCTGTCTGCTTGTTCCGGTGCTTGTAACGGTTTGACTGATTTTGATAATATTTTACTACCGGGTTGCTATCTGTATAAGGAGTAGGCTATTTTCAGAAAACTCCTATAACATTTTACCCGGTCCGGGAATCGAACCCACTAAGGCAGCACTTTTAAAATTAGGCGCCTACGAGTCGCGGGTACCAGCTAGTTAAATCCCTATATTCCTATATCCCTATATGTATTTTTTTAAATCTATTCAGAATATAGATACTGTGCTTATCAAACATATTTTAGCAAGTTCCAACGTATTTTTGATTAACATGACACTATAGCTTATCTAAACTGGGCGTAATTCTTTACTTAACGAGCAATAATTTCATGATAAAGATAACTCCTATCTTTAAGGTAAATACTCCGTAGTGATGATTTCACGAATTTTTTTATCTTGAAAAATAAATTTTACACCAAAGAAAGATTACAAAACTTAATGATAACATTATTTTACGGTACAAAGTCGAAAGATATAGAAGAAGACTGCATGCACTGCATGTCTTTTAAAGAGGGTTCGTTTGTTTAGAATGCCTATAAACAACTTCACTAATTCAGTCTGGGAAATACACTGTAGTATTCATATCATAAATAGTGCAATTTAAATGTCGTCATATTACACATTGAACCGTTAGAAAGTGACCATGTCAGACAAGGTCATCTATGTATAGGCTATTGAAGGCCCTGGGTTCTTTAGAGTAGAGATACCAGGAATAGTGATTTAGCCAAATAACGATTATTCGGCAACACTTAGTACCTTTCGCGGGTTTAAACCTGAAACAGTACAATGATCAGAAAATGCTAAACAATATCCTAATCTATCAGAATTTGCTAAGATTTATTTATCATTTCTTGGAAGCAGTATTTACAGTTAGCGGCTATTATCTGAGGCGGGTATAATTTATGAGAAAAAACGCGATCGTTTCCTGTCAACAAATGCTGAAAAAAAATGTTTTCAGTGTCAATATGATATTATTGGTAAAATAAGTCTTTGTGAGTTCGTTTATGCGTTCTTATTTTTGTGATTTACTGTTTGATATTAGGCGGAATATTCCGAACGAAGAATAGTGGAAAAAATGATTGCATAGCCGAATACCGTATACTACATCTACATCTTCACATTAGAGTAATGGGGGCCCTAGAGAAAGGAAGACAAAGAAAGAAAGAAAATCATTTATTCTGACATTTACAGGACAGCATTTAGTTCATCAACAGCCTTTACTAGTCCACTGCTGGACATAGGCCTCTCCTTTGAAAGGAGGTTTTGGCCTACTATACCACGCTGGCCAGACGGGTTGGTATAGGGTTTGTGTCAAGTTTTCCTTCTTTCTGCAGTGTTGTTGTCCTGCGTAGTTCGCTTCCTTAGTCGCCTCTTACGACACCCACGGGATGAATAGGGGTGGTGACACTCTGTATTCTTAATCCGTCACCACACGGGCATTTAGTTATTACAATGAAATAAACAAACAAAAAATAACAAGATAATGCTCAGTCAGGGTCGTACGCACCTACTATCTTAACTGAGCATTATTTTATGGAAGGACAAAGAAAGTGCCTGCCTATACTAGTCAATCATTATCGCGGATTTTTTTAAAATAAACATGTTTTTCAGTATAAATATCTATTTATCAATTGGTGCAGGTATTTGCTGCCCCTATCGTTTGGCCTGGGCACGTGCCGAAACTGTCCAGTGGGTGGCCAGGAGCCTGATCTCAGACTGACATAATAAATACACATACTGTATTAATATAATGACTATAAAATGTAACACAAATAATAGAAAATTTCAATAACAATTTTAAAACAACCATCGGCAACATTATTATGACAAATGACCATTTAATGATATCAATAATAACAGCAATCAAATGAAATTATATCTATTACAGGTACAGACACTAATTCTAAAATCACACTAATATTATAAAGACGAAAGTTTTTGAATGTATGTTTGTCACTTCTTCACGCTCAAACGACTGTGCCAATTTTGATAAAATTGGGTATGGAGGCAATTGACACTTTGGATTACCAGATAGGCTTTTTTTTTCTCAAAACATTGTAGTGATAAGTAAGGAATTGAAAATTTGAGGGTAACACTGCGGGGCGTAGCTAGTTATAAAACATCTATTATAATAGTATTATTAGAAGTATTAGAATTTGCATCTACCTACCTACCTGGATTTCTTGCTAGAAGGATCAAATATATGGTTCACCCTTTGTACATAGATTGGTATGAAGGCACTAATATTGGGACAATCTGAAAGATCTGAGTCTCTAAGTAACTTGTCTTAGCAATAATTAATACCTTTCTTTGTACTTTAATTTTATACGAAATTGAACAATGGCTTTAAAAACATTAGGTATACAACTTATGGCAAGGTCAATGTCTGTTTATCATTGTGGTCATTGGGTTATCTATGCATTTAACCTAAACTGGCCGTAATAATTAACTGTGTGTGACGTCAATGCATTTTGTTTTGTTTTTAGATACCTATGTAAATTAGTTTACCTATTGTGTACATCCTGTTACAGAATTATCGTACTTTGCACTTATGCCTAAGTTGTAATATTCAATATCAACAGTTTATTATAGAAAGATAAATGTAGTGGGTGTATATTATCACGATATGATAGCAAGGACTTTCATATGAGCAGGTAAACAATTATCACACACATCACACACAGGCTGCTGATAAACTTACTTATAAATTTCTAAATACACTAAATTGTCCGTGTGGTGACGGATTAAGAATACAGAGTGTCACCCCTATTCATCCCGTGGGTGTCGTAAGAGGCGACTTAGGAAGCAAACTACGCAGGACAACAGCACTGCAGGGAGAAGGAAAACTTGAAACAAACCCTATATCAACCCGTCTGGCCAGCGTGGTATAGTAGGCCAAAACCTCCTTTCAAAGGAGAGGCCTATGTCCAGCAGTGGACTAGTAAAGGCTGTTGATGATATTTCTAAATACATACATATTATAGACAAAGTACACCCCGACACAGAACAAATGACTTTATACTGCATAATGTGAGTCCTCTTTCGAGAGGATCTGATAAGATTAGCTGCTAGATGCCAAATTATATTAATGTGTAAACACCCCATATAAATACAAAAATATTCATAAAAATATGATAATTATAATAAGTGTTTTCACAGGTAATTTTCGTTTCAAACCCTTGAATATCACTTCTACTTTTCTAGGCCGTGTACGAAGGACACCTAGGAACCCAAGATACGCAAGATAAGCGTTCATTTTGTCTTCTCGACCCCTAGTTGGGGTTTGCTCTAAATATTCATAATAAAATTTTGACGTATTTTAGGTAAGCAAAAACATTATATAGGACGACAGCACTGCAAAGAGAAGGAAAACTTAAAACAAATCCTATACTAACCCGTCTGGCCAACGTGATGTGACATAGAAGGCCAAAACATCCTTTCTAAGGAGAGACCTATTTCCAGCAATGTACAATTAAAGGATGATGATGACGTCTAAGAAAATAATATCACCGAAACCACCTTTAATTAAAATGTATTTTTGAAATAAACATTTTAATCACTTTTCTAAAAAAGTTCTTTATTTGTTATTACAGTTGAACTCGCTCACCAAATCTCAATTACGGAGCCAAAAGCTATAGTCACGATTCAAGAATGTTACGATACAGTCAAAACCACATTGAAGAATTGTAAGAAAGACATAAAAATTATCTTAATCGACAATCCAGTTAATCCAGTACCCAATGGTGCCATAAGATATTCAGAGATTGCTGAATCTGGTGAAGCTGATTACGACCTATTGGATAAAATAGAAAAAAAACCAGACGAGGTAGCCTGCATACCGTTTTCGAGCGGCACCACTGGTTTACCTAAAGGTGTAGAGATTACATATGGAAATTTGTTGGCGAGTCTCGAGATAATGCACCAGAAGGAAGTATGTTATCCGGTGTTAACACATGGTGAGTTATTTTCTATTTTGTTGTAAAAGGCCCGTTATGTTGGTCCAAAGATTATTGTACGATCCACATGTCCATTGCTTAACTCAAGACAAACGAAACAGTGTAGTTGGACCTGCCTCCACTTTTACACATTTATCCCTTATTAGCTCACATCTGGCATTGTAGTGTGAATAGCTATGCCTTGCATCCATCGGAGGAACACCATTAGGGTAGGTAATTATTAATTTGTATCTTTAGAAAACATCAGATAATTCTCGAAAAATACAATTAGTACAGTGTTATGGTTTAAAATGATTGAATGAATTGTATTATGATACAAAATACATTAAATGTTGTTTTGTTCATTAAAAAAAACTCAGAAGTTATTGTTACACCTCTCTGTGGAAGAGACAAGGTTACACAGGGCCTGACTTTACCACGACACCCCGTCTTGGTAAAATCACGCCCGGTGTAACCTAATCGATAGACACGTAAATTACATATATCCACCAAGAATATGACCGCACAATCAAACAAAAGAGATTTAAAAATGCATTCTAAGTCCACAAGGTATGGCAGGATAATTTCTGTGTAATCTACAACGGACTGCACCCAAAGCTACATACGTAGTTTCAATTTTGGAACGCAAACCGTACAAACGAGTTATCACCGTTATGTTTCCAAGTAGTTCTAAATTTACGAACAATAGAAACATATCTGTTGAACAGTGTTTGTGTTTAGTTAGACAACGTAACATATTTTTACCTCATTATCCTCTGTTACGTAGATGAAGTAATTTTCTTTAATAGGTTGTAAACTAGTTGACCGAAGTATTGCAGTGTTCAATATTGTAATGATGGTGATAAGTGGAAATGTGTGACCATGGCATGTTAAACTTGAAATTACGTAAAAACAATTTAAAAAATCGTAATAACCTAAATAAACACACTAGTTGTGGGTTAATTGAAGTTTGAACGCAACTTGAAGTCATTTTTCATACGTAACGCTAATTTCCAGGTGACGTACAAGATGTGGTTCCGTCTTTCCTCCCCTTCTTCCATATCTACGGTCTAGTCGTGAACTTGTTAGGACACTTCGCACAAGGATGCAAGATGATCACCATGTCTAAGTTCTCAGCTAGTTTGTACCTGGACACGTTGAAGAATTCACGCGCGAGCTTGCTTTACATCGTGCCGCCTGTTGGTAAGTTGATGGGTTCATATTGTTATATGCACCGTTAATGGTAAGCCACACAATTGATGGTAAGCGGTTATCGGCGTCTATAAACGTTTACAATACTAGTGCGATGTCAACAAACCCTTTCAGTGTAAAACTTATAATGTCCCGGCATGATAAGCAAACCGGGATTTGATTATCTGCAAAACATAGTTTATGTATGTATTTTATGTGTTACATTTTTTGATTATAATTAGTAATTACTAAAAAACATCTCTTTTAAGTTATTTATTGTTTTTATTTTAGTATTTTTATATTTTAACCATTGGAGATTCGTGGCTAAGTTCTTAACGAGTAGGTTTTACAGTTAAGCACATTTTAAAGTTAAGCAATTCTATCAAGGTCAGTCTATGGATGGGTGACCATTCTAAACATATTAAGACCCCTCCGTGCCTCGGAGAGCACGTTAAGCCCTCGGTCCCAGTTGCCATACGAACATCTGTGGCAATCGTTATGGGTAGTTGCAGCCCCTGAAAGTCCGACAACAGTCTTTCTAAAGAACTTCGATATCGCCTAGTTGTGAAGGTCTGATGGTAGTCGCTCCGCGTCAAAAAACAAAGTTCAACTGTATCGTAGTAGACTTAAAGCTGACTGCAACCTAGTTCAAGAAAGAGGTTCAGGGAAAGGATTAATTAATTATAAAAAAAGTTTAACAATGAAATCATCTCTCTTTTTAAAGGTCTACAGCAATACATCAATAGCCTCCAATATAATCGAAACAATACCTGGTCAGGGCCTAAAGCTCTGTAAAATTAGGAGACATTAATACTCGATAAAAAGTTTCCCAAGTCATCTAATAGGCTAATACATATGTGTCGAGTAAACTAGGAGAATAAATACAAAAAAAAACCTAAATTTAGGAAACTATATATACCCATATATAAACGATTGAACACCAGGTTAGTAGTTATACCCGTATACTGGTTCGAAAACCTAGTTATGGTAGTAAAAACTTTCACATAAAATAGTAGTAAGTAAAAAGCCTATTTTATTTTCTTAAATCGAGCATAACATACATTCTCTTTGTACTGTATTTCAGCCATTCTTCTTGGTAAACATCCTGACGTGAATAAAGAACATTTTCGAAATGTGAGACACATCTGCTGCGGCGCTGCGCCCCTGTCCGCCTCTGACGTAGAAGCTATACAGCAGAAAAGTAAGGTTAGTTTAGTTTAGTAATTCTTTATCTAAATCTGAGCACGTAAGAGCCATTAGGGTAGCCCTGGCTTTAAATAATGAACAGAGAGTTGAGGATTTGATTTACTAGTGGACAAGTCTCTAGTAATTGAGTCTGTGACTGAGTCCGTTAAATAAATAATACGTTTAAGAAACTTGCCTACCTTATCCGGTTTACCCTTTGTTCCTTATACTAAAATTGTATTTAAATTCTCTTCTCTTCATCATATTTATCAATGACATCGATAAATGCTTCAAGCATTCTAAGCTTTTATGTTTTGCCGATGACATGAAAGTTTTTGCTACTATGCAATCGGCTGCTGATGTTGAGACACTTCAGTCGAATCTCATGCGCCTGGATAATTATCGCCATATTAACAAGCTAGACCAAATGCTCAGTGGTGACTTTTATCCGAAAAAAACAGCAAATAGGTTCTTCCTACTTAATAAAAGGTCAAGTTCTTTAAATAACTGATTATGTTCCAGATCTAGGCGTGTCCTACGACTCTAAGCTTTCGAGTTTTTCATTAAAAAAATCGGAACCTAGGTCCTTTTAGGGGCAGTACCTGACCCTGACCCCCCAAGGACACCAACTATCGATATTTTTTAATAAGCTTCCTCTATGTAAAATATTAGTTTAGGTATATAGTCGTAATAAAGTTATTTGTACTATATTGACATATACTCGTACATATACCTAGGGTTTGGATAGCATTCTAGTTAGACGTTTTTAATCCACCTCTGTGAAAACAAAAAGTGTAAAATATTCATAAATACAACTGATTCACAATAGGCAGTCTGTGAAAATAACTAAATAATTTATTCAATAACCGTCACTGGGCCGAATCACTTACTAAAAGGTCCTCTATTGCAACAATGTCTCCGTTTAAAATTGACCTAGTTTTAACGTTTATGATTTTAATAGGTACTTAAAGAGTATGGAATGTATGCATTTAGATATATACTTGTACCTACCTATTATCCAAGTGTTACCTACCATATCAAGAACAAGACCAATGACGTATTATGTTTATTGTTTAAATATATATATAAATTCTGTGTCTCGGGGGGACTTTACAAACATACATAAAACGGACACAAAGAACACCCAGATTTAAAACAACCATTTATGGATCACACAAAATGTCGTCCCATGTGCGACCCACAACACTCAGCGTAGTAGTAAATGGCGTGGCGACAACTTAAACCACTACCCCATCCGTGCAGTCTACACGTGCATATATCATTGAAACAAGACGTTTTGTGGAAGGTTTATTGCACTTTTATTGGTATTCTTAATTTACAGGATCTTTATGAAAGGCATAGTGAAATAAAATTGTTATTTATTATCTTTCTCACTCTCAAGCAGACGATAAAATGAGACCTTGTGTTCATGAAGTAAATATTTATTTTGTGATTAACTAGTGCAGCCTATTTACAGAATATTTACTTTACTTTAATAGAACCGAATAGATATTGTTATTATTTATATCATCATCAACAACGTTTGACAGTCCACTGCTTAACATAGGCCTCTTCTTAGAAAGTGTGAATGTAAAAATATTATGTTAGTACTAATACAAGTTAAAATCCTTATCGAGTATAGGTATCAAGTCTATGAGTAACTAGTCGACTAAATGTAGTGTAAGTTAACATTAGAAAGGAGGTTTTGGCCTACTATACCACGCTGACCAGACGGGTTGGTATGAAAATGACCTGATTAAGAAATTGATTGAGCAAACAGCTTTAGCACGTTGACATACCAACTTTAAACTAGAATTAGTCCCTTGTATTTTCTTTACTTTTAGTAAACTTATAATGCCAACCACCATATTATACGGACAACAATATAACTGTCTAGAGCAAGGTGACGTCATTAAAAAAGACAATCGTTGCTGTTCGGGGACAGATCCGTTGTTTGAATAAGATTGTATCGTCCGTCATTTCCAAGGTCAATTACTGACTGGCCTATTAACGTGAAATAATAAATATATATATAATTAACTAGCTGCCCCGCGCCACTTCGCCTACGTCTCTGAAAAGGAATAAATGTTACCCGTTTTTACAACATTGTTATATAGCCTACAGCCTTCTTCGATAAATAAGCTATCCAACACTAGAATTTTTTTTAATTCGAATCTTCCGATTAGCGCGTTCAACGCTGAAGAGTTAATTTGTTTGAAATTAACTCTTCAGCGTTATAATATTACAGCTTTATAATATTAGTACAGATTGTAATTGTTGCTTTGGTATAATTGCCAATTACTATTAGTCTATGTCCTTCTTCAAGAATCAAACCATCTCCAAACAAAATTTCATCTAAATGTTTAGCGGTTATTGATTCCCCATACAAACTTCCATCCCCTTTTCACCCCCTTAAAGTATGATTTCTGGGATAAAAACTATCGTATGTCTTTTCCCGGGATTGAAATTATCTCTAAACCAAATTTCATCTAAATCGATTCAGCGGTTTATGCGTGAAGAGGTTGCAGACAGACAGACAGATAGAAATACAGAAACACTTTCGCATTTATAATATTAGTATGGATTGTACAAGAGACAAAAATACAATCGATCCTAAATTAAATTACTGTTAGTTATAATGGTCGGTTGTTGATACTGATCTCCTCTAGACAACCTTATCAGAAGTGAATGGTAGAAGACGATCTACTACATATAACATCATCAGCCTATCGCAGTCCACTGCTGGACATAGGCCTCTCCCATTGCACGCCACTTAGATCGAACTACATATAACAATACAAACCATATAGATACATATGCATATATACTATTGTTGAGAAAAATAAGATTCGAGTCGGGAAGTACAACCTTGAGCTACAGAGACTCGCGAGCCTTTTTAGTAAACTTTGCATAAAGGGATAGTGAAATCTTGGAAATAAGGCTCAAGTGTGCTTTTCGGTTGCTCCGCCATATTATCGAAAACATCGCCAATCGTCAAAGTAGAAATAAAGAAGTTACATATAAGGGTTTTAAGGTGGCCGCGCAAAAAGAACGTGGAGGATTGCGCGGCAACGCACATCTCAGCAACTACTTAAGTTAGAAATCTAATTCTTTTTGTTAATTGAAGACTAAATTTAAAAAAAAAATGTCGAAAAAAGAATCATTAGCTACATATCAAATACGAGTATATTCGCCTCGGAAGTTATGACCGCGCAATCGTACAATTGTTCTTTCCCCCGTCCTCGTCATAAATTGTATGAGATAACATTATTTTCGAGATTGCATGCGTTAAAAACTGAGGGTAAAACTATATGTCATTCTAATGTGGTTAATATTTCGAATAAATTGATGTTCACGCCAAAATCCTAGCAGTTATCGATAATGAGATGTAAGGCTACAAAGTGACGTAGATTTTTTTTACACACACATCCACACAACGCCATCTAGTCCCAAACTAAGCAAAGCTTGCACTATGGGTAGTAGACCCAGTATCGTTTGGTCTCTTGGTAAAATTTACTACTCGAGATATGACAAAATACTGCCGTCCAAATGACGACTGGTCAAAAGCTAGTCTGAAGGCCTAAGCTAATTAGGTTAGTTTTGGTTTCTTATTTCATTTTCAAGATTACTTTTTTCTCCACAGCATGATATTGAATTCAATCAAGGCTTCGGCGCTACAGAAACAACATCTTTAGGAACCACAACCTTCAAAGGGACGAAAAACATTGATTACTCCGCGTGTGGAGTTCCCATGGCCAGCATGACCTTGAAGTTTGCAGACCCAATCACTGGAGGACCTGTACCAATTGGACAAGTAAGTTTATAGTCGATATAAACAAGAAAATAGCTATAAATATAATTAAATTAATAAAATAAACGGAATCACGTTATGAAATATATGTATGTCTAAAGTCTTCTTTATACACTTCTTCCTTATGCAGTGCTTTAAAAAATACTTATCTCTCTGCTAAAATATCGGCAACTCCAATCCCCGCCGAACAGCTTTTAAAATGATAAATTTACGAAATTTAACTATGAAAATACTAAAAATAATAAAAAGTATACAAGTATTCTATCAGTCAATCTAGCTTTAATAGTACAAGTTCTGCTTAGTTTGAAACTAGATGGCGTTGTGTGTTAGATGTACAAAAATATAAAATTTAATAAAAAATATACATGAAACGGACATAAAGAAAGACGAAAAGAAGACGTTTCTTATTTATTTAAATAAATAAGAAACGGCTTGGCGACCACCACTACGCCATCTGAGCAGTCGTAGCCCCTTACGTGTCACAAATAGATTTGTTTTCAGTATTATAACCTGATATATTTAAAACATCATTTCAGCAAGGAGAGATATACATAAAGGGTCCGACTATAATGAAAGGGTACCACAAGAATCCTGCAGCGTCAGCAGACTGTTTGACCGAAGATGGCTACTTCAAAACTGGTGATCTTGGTTACTACAAACCTGGAGTCGGGATGTTTATCACTGATAGAATAAAGGAGCTTATTAAGGTTCTTTTCAATTATTTGCTATTACCTAGATCTATTCCTAAAAGATCTATCTAGATCTTGGTTTGTTACTTTCCGCTTTTTGTAAATAGTGCCGGATTTGAAATCCAACAAAAATAGATTGTTTGTATAATTACAAATACATTGTTTTTATTAGTTTTGCTAATGTACCCTTTTATTGTATGAGAGACAATGTATGAACTGAAGGCAATTAATATCTCAAGTATCTCAAGAAGATGTCAATTATATGAATTCTAGTTTTAGTACCGATCTACATTCTTATAAAAAGGTAAATGATAGACAGACACATTCGAACAGAAAAATCAAAACAAGTTATTCTTGTAATCACTTCGACAGACTGGTCCATGTATGGAACGTAGTTGTCATTGACGGTGTGGCATTGCTAGGTGTATGTTTTCCTTTACTACCTACTTTGCGATATAAAACTGTAAGATTTTTAAACAGATAAAATATGTCTTGTTCTGTAATATTATTATTATAATTTAAATGCGGTGTAATAATTACCAATTGGGCGTTATACTATTTTGTCTCTATTATTGTGTGTTTGTGTGTGTGTAAGGAAGGTAGACGAAAAAGGAATGCAAGCGAACAGTGGCTCATCTCTCCTAAATATCAAGCCAACCCGAACTAAAACTATAAGTAAATTAACAAATCGTAATAAAAAATTGCAGGTGAAAGGAATGCAAGTGGCCCCAGCGGAGCTGGAGAGCCTGCTGCGCTCCCATCCAGCTGTGCAGGATGCGGCCGTCATCGGCGTCCCACACGAGTTCTTCGGCGAAGCACCAAAAGCTTTCATCATCCGTAAAAACGGTCTGAAGACCACAGAGGAAGAAATCCAAGACTACGTAGCTAGTAAAGTAGCAGTGTACAAGAGAATAGAAGAAGTCATGTTTGTAGATGACATTCCTAAGACTGCTTCTGGTAAAATTTTAAGGAAGGAGTTGAAGAAAATGTACGCTTAGAGATGTTGTTAAAGTTTTAGTATAAGTGACTTTGTTTGATATTGGTAAGAGATCGTCTTCTTTTATTACGGAATTATCTTGTAATTCCATTGTGTGTGTAATTCCTTAATGCATTAATAAGTTCAAAACAAGTTGAGTTATTACATAGATACCTAGGTATGTAGGTACTAATAATTCTCGTTCCAAATGGTTTCTACTCAAGGAATCGTATAGTCACATCACAAATTGTTATTATTATCGTTTTTAGTTTAGCAATCGCATTTATAATAAGAAAATTTATAAAGATTAAACAATATTATTCCCTCTCCCACACATAGTCAGGGATGCCCGATTAGTTTCGGACCTAATCGGGGCCCTATTTAAAAAAAAACAAACGTCTTGCAGCGAAGATGTCAGGAGTCGAACTTATTCTAAAAACAAGCTTGCCATAATAATTGAGAAAGTTAACGCAAATATGTAAGAAGTGGCCTTAGTAGGGATTAATATTTATTTTCCATACCATAGACAATCTAAAGCTTAAATATCGCTTAAGAGAGCGCTTGCCTCAATGACGATTTCGCCTGCAAGCGTGAACAAAATACTTTTTATCAATATATCAGTTCTGCCTTCCCCTCCTGGGGATAAGTGTATCCCTACATCTCGGTAAATCAGATATTCTTTGTACCTTTGATGAGAACATAGTGCAATACACAGAGCGAAGTGCCTAGAACTTACTTCTAATAAAGTATAAATTATACATATATCTATCAATTAATTGAGACCACAAAGTACATTACCATCTAATATTAAGTACTGTACAAAGTCTTGGTTTCAATGGAAGTCTCTTGCTTAGTAATTGAAAATAGTATTATAAGTAGGTGGTGTCTTTCTTTGAGTACTTAGGGAATAATATTTTAGAAACATATTATGTAACCCAATAGATAACGCTAGGTGAATTGTCTATAAGTTCTAAAAAAATGTAATATATCTAATTTTATTTATCGTAACGTAACGTAACGTAACGTTTATTTTTTGGTTAGATAAACAAACGTTTGCAAATTTATATAAATTAAACCTATTTGTGATGTAAATAGGCGAGATGGAAATCATCTCAAACTACTGTAATATTTTGTAAAAATAAATATATTTTTCAAATTGCATCCCCATATTTTTTGTTTTAACAAATGGATACCTTCTAACTTATTTTTTTTGGTGTAATAGTCGTTTTCACTGACTATTGGCCTGTTGGTCTAGTAGTTGGTAACCCTAATTGCTAACCCAGAGGTCGTGGGTTCAAGAATGCTAATGAACGTACCGTGCGTTTTTGAATAACGAACCAAGTGAATAATGCTGAATGGAAGGAGATGGTGGAAGCCGATTCGAGGCAAACTACCCAGGAAATAGCGGCATGGTTTAACGTTACCCTACCAATAATATTGACTCACTTGCATCAAATCATTTTGAGGATAAAATAATATGAAAATGGATGCCTCATGATTTGATTGATCTGCAGAAAGAAATACGTATTGAAACTTGTGTTGCCTTGGTGAATCGGTACAGAAATGAAAGAATATAATGATCGAATTGTGACATGTGACCAAAGATGGATTGTTTAACTAGGTAGTTATTAGTTGTTTAATCTGACACGTTGGATTCATTCGGAAAAGATGTGAATCTTTGGTTCGTTTTATCTTAAAAAACAAAGATATCGAAAATCATCCAATTCCTTATCATTACTATGATTTGAAGAATGACTGGAAAAATAATAAATATTTTATTAATTTGGTAAAAGTTTTAGAAGTAGCTATTAGACATACGAGTACATGTAGAAATATTCTTTATTGCATGCCATGATTAGGTAATATGGGTACAAGGTAGAATACACACAAAAATATTAGGTATTTGTTATCTCATCAATCATCATCATGATCATCAACAGCCTTTACTAGTCCACTGCTGGACATAGGCCTCTCCTTAGAAAGGAGGTTTTGGCCTACTATACCACGCTGGCCAGACGGGTTGGTATAGGGTTTGTGTCAAGTTTTCCTTCTCTCTGCAGTGCTGTTGTCCTGCGTAGTTTGCTCCCTTAGTCGTCTCTTACGACACCCACGGGATGAATAGGGGTGGTGACACTCTGTATTCTTAATCCGTCACCACACGGACAATTTGTTATCTATCTTATATAGTATAATATATGTACGTATGTATATAATGTATGTACGCGCGTAACTTCTGAACGACTGTACTAAATTGGATAATTCTTTTTTTTTGTGATCGTTATTGTCAGGTCAAGGTTTGTATGAAAGAAAATTAAAAAAAACAAACAGATTATTAAAAATATTTTAATTGACCCACATAATAAAAAAAAAATTGATTTAAATTAGGTTCTAATTGCTTATAGTTTAAGTTTTAAAGAAGTATTAAAAAATAACCAGAAGAATCATATTATCTAAAACGCTAAGAAAATACAACTCTTAACAGAAACAACATCCACACGTCCCCTACGGGGCGGTGTGAGGACCTCGAGAGAGTTATACTCGGTCATTCTCGCTCGGACCGTCTGGTTGTACGATTCAATACAATTGTTAGTAAGTCCTTATAAGATATCTTTAATTGTATTTGAAACAACCCAGTCACTGGTCCTCGTCATATACAATTACCACTTCTGAGCAACAGTGCTTTGAGGTGTTAATAGGTCAACCGTTGTGTTATTTATTGTTATTGATAGAAAAATGCCACCAGTGAGGTGTCGAAATATCGGTCGGCGTTCACGTGAAGCGGGTCGAGATTACAATCTCCGAGACAATGAGATTGAAGAAGAGTGTAGGCAGCGTTTAGAGGCAAACAGAATGAGAATTTCTCTAGCGAGTTCTACCAAAACTCCGGAAGAACCCATACATTCGACTTCGAGGGGCTACAAAACAGACGATCAAATGTAATAATTACCTATTAACGTTTGGCGTATGGATGTAATACAACATTTGATTACGCCGCCGATAAATCGGTAGATTTTGGAAAACTGAGCACTATTTGTCAATATTGCAATGCTTTGAGTTTTCGACTCGAACGGCCAGGATTGGAGGAGTGCGAATGGAAAGGTCAAATTACCACGACTGATGACGCCATCTGAACTAAATTTTACTTTAAGCATTGATATAATACTTACATAGATGAGTAATTACCGCCTAAAATCGTTGCTACTGCACATCTGTCCACAGGCATATGCGTAGCAAACGTCAATTCAGTATTCAATGTGGCGTCAACCGAGTTGAACATAGCGACACATGACAGTAACAATCGCCAAAATGGCTAAATGCGTAGTGAAAGAATGCGTTTCAAGGTCACAAAACATTAATAAATCATGCGGAATTACTTTTCACGTGTCAGTTTATGGTTTTTTGTATTGATAATATCGTAAATAAGGCTATAATTGAAATAAAACACTGATAATTGTAATTTAGAATCAGTGTTACCATTAAAAAATCATTTTGGTTTTCCCACATTAGTGGGAGATTTTATAATTTGTGAAATAATATGCTTTATACTGTTTTTAAACATTTTGCCAATAATAATAAAATATAGGAAGAACGGTAGTTGTTAGGGCTGGACCGATCACTTTTTTTAGGGACCCGTTGAACGTATGTTTTTTTAATATGCGATACACATTATACACATTTTAATATACACATTTTAAGGTTCACCAACAGTTGTTGCAGATATAATACAGGTAGGAACATTCAAGTATTTGTGTCTAAAATCATCTGCACAACCAATTATAGGCAAAAACCCCATGCAACGTGTTATTTGTATCGACTTATGATACATAATTTTAAAACTTATTTATTTAACTTATATTCTAGAAAATATATGCTAAAAAATTTTATTTAGTCACTAGGACTAAACCAAACTTTTCATACTTTTGACGTGTCTGACAACCGTCAATATTGAATCAAAGTGGACATCAACCAGGCTGCTACGAGTAGAGGTCCAAAAGTTCGTGGAATGAAAGGGTTTTAAATAAAATGAAACAATAAACCTATTTTTCTTTTTCAATATAATCACCCTTAAACTGAATACATTTATTAGATGTATGATTTATTAGATGATGATTAATTTTTCTAAGCCATTGTAAAAATATTTTTTATCTTTTGCCTCAAAATGAGCTAAAATTGCCTCCTTTACCTCATTGACGTCGGAAAATTTCATTCCCCTTTAGAAAAGACTGTCTTTTTTTAAATTGGGGAAAAAATAAAAAATCCCTGGGGGCCAGATCTGGACTGTAGGGTGGGTGGAACAGTGTTTTGAAGCCATGCTTATGCAGAGCAGCCATTGCAACTCTGCTCTTGAGAACCGGCGCGTTGTCTTGCAAGAGCAACACACCCTTGGTTAATTTTCCTCGACGTTTTTCTTTGATGGCCTCCTAATTTCTCTAGCATCGTTGCGTAGTATTCTCCGGTTATGCTCTTTCCCTTTTCTTTGTAATCAATGAGTATTATCCCCTCACAATCCCAAAAACAACTGCCATCAACTTTCCAGCTGACTCCGACACTTTGAATTTCTTTGACAGTGGCCCTTTTTATGCCATTGCATGGACTCTTGTTTGGACTCAGGCTCAAAGTGATGAATCCATGTTTCATCTCCGGTAATAATCCGCTCGTTCGAAGTTTGTCTCTACATAACTCCAAAAATTGTTTTGACGCATCGACGCGCTGTTGTTTCTGAAGCGGCGTGAGCATTTTTCGGTGGTTATGTAGGATTCGCAAAATGGTATATGTAGATACTCCAACTAATGCAGATAACTGTTTTATCTTCAAACGGGTGTCCTTCAGTACAATTTTACTACTGTTACTTTTTCGACGATGTCTTATGTGGTGGCCTCAACTGGCCTTCCTGAGCGGGGGTCGTCTTCAATCGACGCCCGACCATGTTTAAAAAGACCATGCCACTTGTAAATCATTGATTTACTAGGGCACTGTCCCCCATAAACGGTTTGCATTTCATTCAAAATGGTCTGAGCGTTC